GCAGGGTGGACCTAAGGATTAAGAGCCTGAGAACGTACTGTTGGAGCAATGCTTAAATGGAGAGGCGCATGGTCAGGGCCCAGCGAAGGGAAGCTGCTGGCAGCATTTATTGTCTTCGCGGCCGGTCATTCATCCCCAGGTCAAGGCATCAGGGGCACGGGGTGGAAGAAAGACCCAAGTCTGGGAAGCTGGCGTCCTGGGTCCGGCTTTGGCCTTGCTCCCACTCACTACACATCCCTTCCCTTTTGTGGGCCTCAGTTTCCATGTCTTTAAAATGGGAGTTGAACCTCACTCATGGTTTCCAGCCCCGGCTGCACATCTGAATCACCCAGGTACTTAAAAAAAATGCCCGTGCCTGCGCTTCACACCCAGAAGGTTGGGTTTCAGTGTCTGGAATGGAAGTTGGACTTCGGTGTTTTTTCAGAGCTCGCTAGGTGATTTGAACCTGTGAGGGAAAGGGAGTGTCGGACTAGGTGATCTCTAATTCAGGATCCGGGCTTCCCCAGGAAGCACTGAGAAGTAACCAGGCCAGGCAAAGCTTTGAAACAGGTGGTTGGGCCCAGAGCAAAGAAGACCCCCACCTGAGCCATCTTCTGGTGACGGGCAGGTTCCCAGCCCCATCTGATGTCATCTCTCCGCTCTCCCAGACCGCCAGACCCGGGCCCAGCACCCCCGCCGCTGTCTGGCCCTGGACAAGCTCAGGAAACAGGTGACCCCTTGTGCAGACCAGAAAGGAGGACATGTGGGAGTGACCACCATTCCTCCAAGATGCTTCGACTCCTGCATTCACCCCAAGGCTGCATCGTCCCCACCTCAAGGTGACATAAAGGGAGAAAGATCCTGGCTGGCATTGCCAGATGTGGCTGAGGACAGCATCCACTGTGACCTTTCAAGTTGGTCTCTTTCCTCACCATTCATTTACCAGTCATTTGCACACCACTTACGAGGCACCCGCAGCATCCCGGGCACAGTCCTAGTAGCTGGAGTTTCAGCGGTGAACGAGAGAGATACTGTCCCCGGCTTCACACGGCTTGTGACCTCTCTCCCCGTTTTCTTTTCCCTTCAGGCTCCGCTGTGGGTGTGAGGGCAGGAGAGGGTCAGTGCCGCCCTTGTGTGAGGGCTGCAGATCACAGTCGGGATAAGAGCAGGGCCTCCTGTGAGACTTCGCTCGAAGCAGCCACACAGTTGCTCCGGTGGCTCCCCGTCCCTGTGCCATCTTGAAAACGTGTCATGGCACACCCAGCAGAGCCGGGCGAGAAAGGGAGCAGTTGGCAGGCAGGGCCTCGCGTCATCTCATCCTCTATTCGTCCCCTCAGCCCGTGCACCCTGAGCAGCACCTCCGTGCCAGGCCGTGTGCTGGGCACTGGTGACGTAGTCCAGTGAGAGAGCCACACACTCTCACTGATGGCCCAGAGCGAGCCAGACTTCCCGGGGTTGCCCAGGAGGCTGCGGAGCCCAGAGGAAAAGGCTGACTCACCTGGGGAGAGAGGGCTCCCCAGATCTGCTGGCTGTGTAACTTGGGACAAGTTACCTGGTAGCCTGATGCCTCGGTTTACTTAACTGTAAAGTAGGTGCAGCGACGGTGCTCCTCCCCAGAGGGTTACTGAACAGCGTGTAAAACGCTTGAGACCCTCTGGCCGTGGGAAAGCACTTGGTACTTGTTCGCTATTATCGTCCTCACTGCCGCTTAAGGATTGTATCTGCCTTACAGCTTCTGGTAAGGATGTGAGATCCCAGAAACCTAGCGGTGATTCTGGTTACCCCCGCGCCTCCTGCAGAGGCCACAAAGCTTGAGGTTTTGGCTAGGGTGGGGGAGGGAGAGGCCGTGGCCGACTCTGGCACCTCCTCACCCCTCCATCTGCGAGTCTGGAATTTGTTCCGGTCTGAGGTGTGATCACCCCGACTTGCCTCCTTAGGCTGCTATTTCGGACAGAGAGCCCAGGACGATGGGCATTATCCCACCTTTAAGGCCCAGCAAAGGGCTGAGAGGATCCATTTCCTCAATCGGACACAGTCCTGTCCCAGGTAAGGGAACCCCAAGGGCTTTGAGTGGGGGAGGCTGAGGCGTTCGGTCCGGAATGGCTGAGGGGCAGCGAGAAATGAGGGGGATTTACATCCTCTGCTGGTGCCAGAGCATCGTAAGCCGGGAGGAGAGCCCTGCTTCCTGTCTGCCGCCCTGGCTGGTCTGCCTGCCTCCCATCACACCTTCCTCCCTAGTCGACTGACTGGCCTTTCTCACACAGAGACCTTGACCCTGCCAGTCCGTGGCTTAAAGCCCTCCCTCAGTGCCCGCAGGTAGAAGCCCAGATATTTTCACTGGCATTTGAGAACTTTTCCAGCCCGAGCCCCTCTTGCCAGCACCCCCTCCTGCCCCTCCCCGGTGACTCTTACCCTTAACACCTCCAAATATTCGCCACTCACTCGGCCCCTCTGGGCTCTTCATCATCCGGTCCCTTTTCCCAGAAAGCCTGTTCCCGGGTACACATGGGAAACGCTGGGTCATTCAGGCTGTACCCACTCCTGCCCTACCTACTCACCCCCTCCGTCCCCCGCCCCCAGCTCCCCTTCAGCTGCCTCTCCTCACAAGCCTCAAGGCTCCTCGAGGGCAGCACCTCAGCTCACCAAAGCTTTCTGCCCCCCAACGCTCCCCAACAGCCAGCACGAGGGATCCCGTCTTATTTTACAGTGGCCGACACTGAGTCACCCAACGGGGAGGCAGCTGACCCAAGGTCACAGCGATTCCCAGCCTAGGGCTCCGGGTCTGCCTCTTGAACTCCACCTTTTACAGGCAGAAGCTGGTGTTCTACGAGTCCAGCGAGGAAGCGGACAAGGAGTCCCCAGATGCTGACCCTTGGCTTCCCACCTGCACCCCAGAGGGCGGCCACCACGGTGACTGAAACGCCCTCTCTCTGTGTGGGCTGGTCTGGGGCCTTCTTGGTACCTTCCTTGTGAGGAGTTCAGTGGAAGGGGGACAAGCAGGAAGGGGAGGGACGTCTGCTACGCACGGAGATGTCAAACGCAGTGTGCCCTCTGTCACTGAGTAATCTGTGGCCCTGGCAGACATTGCTAGCCAAGCGTCACCCTTTGCAGGGATCCCAGACACTGTCTCGGAATTTTTCTTAACACAGAGCCGCAGGCAGCTACAACCTGTCTATCAGATCTGGCACATGATGATACTGATTTTTCTTTTTTCTTTTTTTGCCATCCTTGACATAATGCCAGGGACTGTGCCTCTTAATTTTTTCGACCAAGCACTGAAAATGAGCAATTGACAGAGTCACTTCTCCCCAGTTTCTGGCACCATCTCCTCAAAGCCAGCTGCTGTGTTCTGAGAGGGCGATTTGTGACCACACCTCCAAGCCTGACGTTTTGTTTTCAGGGAGCCCGCTAGCCTCGGGGCCTTCCCTGAATGACACCTGGAGTGTGACTGGCCATCCAACCGAGATCCTAGGCCTTAGCCCTTCCTTCTTCAGCTCCCCTGGGAAACTGCTGCCAGAACAGATCTTGGAGGATGGCGCCGAGTACCTGACCCAAGGTGAACGTCCAGGGCTGGACCTGACGCTTGGTTCATTCAGAAAGCACATGGTGACGCCTGCCAAGTGCACAGCCCCGTGCTGGGCGGCGCTGGGCACCCGAGGATGAGCTCCATCCAGGCCCTGCCTCGAGGAGCCCACGGCCCAGTGGGGGAGTAGCCGCAGGCCAGTGTGGGGAGCGGAGGAAGCTCCAGGAGCCCGGAGCAGGCACCTACTTGCTCTGCCCAGGCTGGAGGTGCCCCACGGGAGATGGCCTGGCAGCTGGATTTGGACATGGGGCAGGGGATCCAGAAACCCAGAAAGTAGTGCTCTGGCTAGTGGGCTGGTGGGACAAAGGCCTGGTGCCATTCGGGCCTCCCTCCCTGACAGATCTCTTTGAAGAAGTGTTCTCAGATCCTGTGTCTTCACCTTTTGCCTGCGTGCTCGAGGTACCACAGAAGGTAGGCCTCTCTCCGTCCATCTGTCCATGGACATGGCCGTCCTCCGCACACGCACCACTCACCTGGCTTGATTCCCTCGTCCATCCCCTCAACCTTTCCAGAGACCCGTCCACCCACCCTTTGAAAGCCCATTGCTGGCCTCCAAGCGCCCGCTCTACGCTGGGCGGTTAAGACTTGCCCAGAGCATCGCAGCTACCACATGAGGTGGGAAAATGTTGGGATTAAGAGATATCGCCCTCGAATAGGAGGCAGAAGACCCGAGCCCAGTGCAGTCCCTCTCTGACCGCTGGGGGAGCTTGGGAACATTTGCTTGAACGTGCAGGGGACATTTGGATGAGGTTGTCTTAAATCAGAGCTGTTTCTCATGCTCATTTCCTAGGAAAGCAGTGAGTGGGGGCGTGAAGGGACACCACTGTCTCCCCTCACATCCGCTGCATCTTTCTCCTTCAACCCCCAGGACACACCCTCGGAGGTCGCCAAAGAGCCTCCCCACTCCCACAGACTGTGCCGGTCCTCGGTCTCTCAGGACCACTGCTACCTCGTACTGAGCGACAGCAGCAAGGGGCCGTCCTCCCCCAGCTCCGAGGACTCGCACACCGACACGGACACAGAGTCGGTGTGGAAGCAGCAGCAGGTGAGGAGGGACCGCCGAGGTTGGTGCCACTTCTCCTGCCCGCTCTCATCTCTCTGTCCCCCACTCAGCATGCTCAGGCCGACCACGAGGGCCCCAAGTCCTCCAGCGAGGAGGACGAAGACTACACCTGGACCCCCACCCGGCGGGCCTCGACCCTGCCCGTGGCCGGGAGGAAGACGAGGAAGGGCTGGACAGGCAGGGGCCCTGTGAAATCCAAGAAGAAGAGGACAGTCCCCTGCTCCACGCAGATGAAGAAAAAGTGTGTCAATGGCTTCATCATGTTCTGCAGGATGAACCGGAAACAGTACATCCGGTGAGTGCGGGTCCTCTTTGGCCGCTCGCCCCCCAGAGCATGTTGTCCCATTCTGTCGCACACATCGGCTCCTTCTAGGAACCACCCACGACCCTTCCTCAGCCATACTCCCCGCCAGCATCTCCCCTGGCCCCATTGCATGGGTTAGGGCCTGTCAATTGTAAGCAGTGAAACCCACCTCAGACTTAAGAAAAAAAGGAAATCCATTGGCTTTATAGCCTGAAAAAAGGGGAGGGGGTGGATGGCCTTCAGATTGCCTTACAGGAAGACCCAAGGGCTGGTACTGGGAGCAGTGCACACAGGACCCCTACACGTCCTGGGACGCGGGTGTCTCCTTCCCAACAACCATTTAGTCCAGCCCCCTCTTTGACGCCTGAGCTCCAGGGTGCATAATGGCGGCTTTTCAGGGTACCTAATGTGGCCGGTTAATGTCCGAGTTCTCAGAGGGAAAGCTGAGGCTCTGATAGGATGAGGGAGCCTTCCATGGTCAGACCGAGCCAGGCCGTCCCCCAGGCCGCTCCTTACCTCCTCCCTCCTGTCCCAGAGCCTGCCCGGGGACCGCATCCACAGCTGCCACCAAGGAGCTGGCCCAGCTCTGGCGAACGATGACCCAGCAGGAGCGGAAACCATACTGGTGAGGAGCCCGGCCAAGCGCGTGGTGCGGCGCAGGCCGCCCGCCCCTCAGCCCTGCTCGGCTCTGCAGGGCCCTGAGCTCCACGAGGTTGGAAACGGGCTGGGCGTTTGCTGGGATAGGAGATTTGGGTGTTGCAAATTTTTACGTAGTATTTTGGGGTGACAGGGATGGAGGGGTGCTCTACCTTGGAGCTTGGAAGGGCAAATAGCTTATTAATTCAGGATCTGGATCCCACTGCCCTGAGTCTCTTTTGCCTTCTCTGCCACGGGAAGCTTCTCAGAGCAGGAACCGGTCCCACCTTCCTTCCGGTTGGCCCTCTCCTCTGCGTCTTCCATCTCCCCTCCTTTTCTGAACCCCACCCCGTCCCCCAGCGGCAGAGCCGCCACCCGCCTGTTTCTCAGTTGG